AAAAAAAAAAAAAACAAAAAAAGAGAGAGAAAAAAAGCAATAGCCAAAGCTCATGTGCATGCATCGTGTTTTCCATCATTTCGGTGAATATTTTTCTTTCTTTATCGTGTTCGGTATCATACCTAAAACCACCATGAAGCAAGACTTAAATCATTATCCGAAAAGGGAAAAATCCTACGTAAGCTCTCGAACTCGTACCAATCTAATATCCTTTTTCTACTCTCCCCCTCATATTGCTTTTCATTTCACGGGCTTTACGTTGAACGGCTTTTATAAACGGAAAATCTATTCTAACCGTAAGATAACTTTTTCCTCATCATACACATATATATATATATATATATATATATATATATATATATACACGTACAAGTGGATATGGATATATTTTGCTTATTCGTAATAAAACTTGGAATATTTTTCGTAGAATTTGAAAGTCAACAAATTTTTGTTCAATCGAACTTTTTTTCCCCATCATCCCCCACCCCGTATACGAATTTTCTTGATAGAAAAAGAAAACTAATAATATAAGTTATTATATAATATATCAATGTTATATATATAGAAAGGATTCGTGTGTTATAATTAACTAAACGGAAATAATACGTGAGTAGAATTAATAATCGATGATAAAATTAGTTCGCTTTTGAGATTATCGTGGTTAATTAATTAAGTATACTGTCGAAATAATTGTTAGATCGAGGATAGGAAACGTTTCGAGTATCGAAATATAACGAACTACTATCAAGGAATTTGATCAACGAATTATGGGATTAGTTTCTAATCTAATTGATATTATCAAATACGTTTTCTACGATACATTATATGATATGATATAATAATATCCGAAATCGGGGGGATGAATAAATAAAATTCATGATAAATAATCGAGGGTAAGGAAAAAAAAAAATGATTAACGAACGATTTGTTTCAAACGAAACGAAACGAAACGAAATGAAATGGGAAACGATGATTATAAATTAGAATAAAGAAAATTTTTCTCGACAAAATAATATTCTTCTCATTCGTTTGTCATAGCAACAACTACGAAAAATAATAATAGAAGGTTTATCATTTATTTTAATATCCCCTTCTCGACACGTCGATTCGCGGATGTCCAATAACGAGAGTGTGTGTGTGTGTGTGTGTGTGTGAGAGAGAGAGATAGAAATAGTGATGATGATCAATACTAACGAGGTTTATTACGTATGACTCGCACAAGTCAACGCACGATTTTCGTTGAAATCCAATTTCTTTTTTTTCCTTTTTTCATTTTTTTTTTTTTTTTTGGACAAGGTCGTTGAATTTTTACTGCCTTTTAATAGGGGATAAAATATTCCTATCGATAAACGGGGGTTGGGGGTTGGGGGTTGGGCTGGGAATTCGGTATTCCGATATAAATCTTTCAACGTGTTTGGCATATATTATTTTGGTATTCGATGTCGTGTGTCTAGCGATTGGTAGTATATCGGTAAACCGTTTGGACAGAATCAGAAAAAAAAATAGTGAAAAATAGCGAGAGAGAGAGAGAGAGAGAGAGATAAAGAGGGGGGAATTAGTTTTGGAAATAATCAAAATAATACACAAATAAAAAGATTTTAATATGTGCCCATAATTATGAAAATGGTTTTTTTTTTTGTAATTGTAAGTCATATATTATCTTATTTCGAGAAGATATTTCAAAAGAATTACACATTTGAACACTAATTGAATTCCACACATTTTAACTATTTGAATATTGAAATAAGAAACATTATCTAACAGTTTATTTTTTTTAACAATATCGTGTGAAAATGACATCGTATTAATTTAATTGAAAATAATATCTCGTGTGTGCAGAATAATTAATAAACTAATTTCTTTTTAAATTTTAACTTGTTAGACCATTTTTATAATTACAGGCACATATATATATATATATATAT